CACTAATTTTTAGGAATTATATTCGACATAAACTAATCAAATTAGGGTTTGAGTTCAAAAAAATTTAATTCTGGTTAGATGGGTCATTCACACTTGAATAAGCATTTTTGATGAGTAGAAATGAAAAATTTGCTAAATATTGAAGAAAATGGGTTATATGGGCTTGGGCTCAATTTTTACCCATTAAGGCCCAATATGGGTTTGGACTAGATTTCGAGTCCCAAATTTCAATTAAATTAATTCCTATAGTTTTATATATCTAGGCTACTTCATGTTAAAATGGTGGGACAAAATGAGGAGAAAATGTTAGGATTTTAAAGAGATCAAGTTTAGGCCTAAATGAGAATTTTGAAAAATTAGGTTTAAACCAAGTTTTAAACCTTAAATTTGATGATTCAGACTCAAAACACAGTAAAAAGATGATTTAAAATGAAAAGGGCTCATACAAATTTAAAGAAAAAAATGGGTTAGGAAAAATTGGCCCTTAGGCCCATTAAGGCCCAAACCAAAATTGAACCTCCTAAATCAATGAAATAATACCTAGTTAGGTTGGAACATGAAATGATACTTAATTTGGTAAAGACCAAATATGGAAAGATAATTAAGAACCTAAGGAAAAGAATTTAGGAAAGTAAAGTGAAAGATAAGTTTAATGAACAAAAAAATGGAACAAAAATGTTAATCTTCCTTTATGTTATGGTTATGTTCTTTCAAATGCTACATGAATGCATTAGGTTATGAATAATGGTTATGCTTGAATGTGATTGATGATAAGAATTAGGTTATGATGATTGATGTGCCAATGACGGTTGTGTTGATTTATATTGGATTAATGTTATCTATCTTTGTTATGCTTCGTTCAATTTTATATCTATTTTTATGACTTAGTTACATAACCATTCTAAGTAAGCATTCGTGAATTCATAAAGCATGCTGATTTATTGCAATTGCATACGCAAGCTTAGCTCATGAATAATGTTTAAGTCGTGAAAATATATTTTATGTCATGGTTATCCGATAGCAATCGGAATGATTTTAAAAGAAAAGATTTTCATGACTTTGAGGTTTTAAGGAAAGGACTTCATGAGTTTTTCATACGGTGATGGTAATAGTTCGGGGTCGGGCAAATGCGGACGTGCACTTTTAGAGGCTCGGTAGGGCACGTCCTTGGATAGGTCCGGTTCGCCGGACATATGTGATGGAAACCTTGAAGTACCTAAATGAGACATGTCCAAAGACAAAAAAAGAATTTTCGAATCGTTTATGAAATATTTTATGACATAAGAAAAAATGATTCATTATGCATATCGGTGTTTTATGCATACATACACATGTACGTACACTACATGCATATGTTAACTTACCGGGTCTGTAGCTCATATAGTTCCTTGTGGTGTAGATAAATAAGATACTACGGCTCACTTCTCGCGAAGGCGACTACCGAGGAAGGCATCGGACGCATATAGCTTGGATGAGGGTTTGGCTTCGGATAGACCCATTACACGAGTAGTTGACATAGAATCGATCATGTATGTAAATAGTTAAGTTGTGTAATTTAATTAGTAATAATAAAATAATAATATTGTAGTAGTAGTAGAATTACTTTAAATTATCCACTGGATATTGACATGATTAGAAATTTAGCAAACATGTAAAATGAAATAAATTAAAATAAAATATCATGATAAATAAACGCGACATAAACATGAAAAATTTATAGCGAAGTTGAAGTAAGAAATAGGAACTGAACGTCATTAAAAGATTTTTACCACGTAAATATTCTTACATACGTTACAATAAGATCATAGTGTCTTGTTAGCTTACATTCACACTTCGAATGTGGCTCATTGCACTTCGAATGTGGCTAACAATGGTAATATTCTCAACTTATTAGGTTACGGGTTAGGGATGTTATACCCTGTGCATTTCAATTTAGCAATTACGCCTTCCTGTGGTATAATTTCAGTCTTTATAAAGCATAATCCTATCAATTGGATCTCCGTAGTGTGCAATTTAGGTTTTGAATTTTTCAATTGATTCGATTATACTCCTAATTACTTCAATTATAGCTTTCTTTAAATGCAAATGTGCCCCTGAATGAATTTTTTTTAATTTTTTTAATTTTTTAGTTTTTTGTAGTAAACTCCAGTGCGAAAGGAAAAAAAAAGAGGTATAAATAAATAATAAATAAAATAAAACAAAATGAGTAAATTTTGGATTATTACATATATAAATGGTTAATCGCATTAGAGGTATTTCTATTTTTCTGATTTAACAAAATAATAATAATAATATAAATATGACATGGGGGTGTTGAACCCACTGTAATCAATTTATAAAGGACAAAAAGTCGGTTAACTTTGGTCCTCTGGAGGGTACACAGTTTCCCTCGACTTGCTTTCAGTTCGCTTCCGCTCTGTTCCCCCTTATCCAAATGTCGTGGTATAGCTTCTTATCTGTAAGTCAACTTGGTTTGTTTTTTAAAGAAGAGCGGTTGGATTGGAGTATCGTAGATGGTATGAAAGATTGGTAGAGCCTAACCCGAAATGAAAGTTCGTTGATAACCAATTATTGAGTTGTAGATTAAGTTTAAAATTTAATTTTTATAATCAATTTTTTAAATAATTTATTCTTAAAATATTCAAATTTATATATTTAAGAATATCCATTAGTCACGTTCATCAAAAAAAAAAAAAAGTCTTAAGATACTTAAAAATTGATCTAAAAATACATTTAGCGTTGAAAAAAAGAAAAGAAAATAAAGTTGTTAGTCTTACACAACCAATTGACCTATTTTTTTGAATAATAACAGTAGTCATAGTAGAACATTGTTTAGCTTAGTTGATAAATTCCTTATACTCAACGCATTAGTTTGACACGAAGAATGTGTTTTTAAGATTGTTCGGATTTTTTTTTATTTCAATTAATATATAAATTAACTGAAAAATATTTTTATTGTCGAATACTAAAAACAAATCTTAGTACATAAACATCCAATAAAACAAACAAAATTTCAACCTAAATAGATCGAGGGGCATAATGTGTTGTCGCATAGTACATGCTACGTGTTATTTTAAATGGCTCTTTTGTGGGCCCTAAATGATGAAAATGATTTTGGGGAAAATGTAAGGGGTTCAAAACATAAATTTTTTATGATTAACGAGTTCGATTTTTGAATTTTTAAAAAATAGAGAGAATAAAGCTATTAAAAAAAGGAAAAAACGAAAAATGTTGGGAAACTTTAATCTAGTCCTTAATTTTTTATTTGATTATTAATTGAGTTTCAAACCTTTTAATTTTATCAATTTTACTTTAGATGTACTTAACAACCTCATCCATTCCTTAATGATGTCTAATTTGCACATGTTTGTTAAATTTTTTTATTGAAAAGAACAAAATAAACTCCAATATGTCATAATGAAGAATTTTAGTATCAAATCATAATAAATTTTCTTTTTATATGAGTTAGTAAAGTGGAGAAAAATAAAAATTTATGATTCGATACTAAAATTATCTTTTAGGCTTATTTTGACACCTTGAACAGAAGCACTCAACGAGCACGTGTAATTAAACGAAATATTTAAATATTACTAATATTAATAAATTGAAGAGTGACATTGTTTAACGTTCATTGCATGTGAAAAAAAAAAAAAAATTAAGCATCAGCTTGCCACCGACGTCTAATATTTTATGCTTCGAAGGTTTTTAATTGTCGAAACTCTAGAGAAGTAGCGAATGAACACCCTAATAGTGTGGTGTCATCTAAGTACTAGAAATAACATTTAATTACTATAAATAACATAAAAAGTTCAGAATGAAAATGTAAAAAAAAATGAAAATTAAAAAGTTAAAAAAATATTTTTATTTCAATACTATATTTGAAATAATAACAAAAACTTAGAATGAAATTTAAAATAAAAATAATGATTAAAAAATAATTTTATTAAATATTGTGATAATAATAATAATAATAATAATGATAATAATAATAGAAAAAAATATGACATAATAATAATTTTTTTTTATCAATTAGATCAATGATAGTCTTAGCAGAGATAGTGATATAAGCAGTAGAAGTGATAAAATTAGTTGACATATAATAAATAAAAATAATAAATTATTATTTTTAAGAAAAAAAATCTCATTCTTAATTTTCTCTTTTATTTTCACATTTCCTCCATAAAAATAAAATTATGCTTATTTTTCATCTTTATTCTCCCTCTTAATTAGTTCTAGAAAATGAAGTCGAGTCATAATCACCGCCTGGTTCCAAAGCCAAAATCGAAGTCCCAATTTGTTGGTATTTCCAAAGCCAAAAAAAAAGAAAAAAACAAAAAACCCTTTAAATGCTGGGTCCACTAATATCAATCCAAAATATCTGCAATAATGATGTAAATTATAAATTAGTCTTTCTAGTTTTTAAATAAAAACTAACTAGTCCTTTTGTTTCAAAAAATAATTATTTAGTATTTTTATTTTTAAACTTTCTTGTAACTTAATTTTTTTTCTTTTTAATTTATTTTGATTTTTCATTGTAAAAAAAAATATGAAAGGATTGATAAGAAAAAATAATATTTTAAAAATGAATGACATTAAATTAAGTGTGATCAATATTAAAAAAAAATAATTAATTTTTGTAACAAAGACAACTAGTTAATTCATTTCTCCAAAAAAAAAAAAAAAAATCTAACATCATCTATTTTTTTAAAAATTATTTAAATAAAGAATAAATTATCAATTTGTCTCTTTAGTTTTATAAAACGAATTAAATAATGTCTTTAGTTTAAAAAATTAATTAATTAGTCAATTAACCAGTATTAACCATGCCTCTTTTTTTTTTTAATAATGTTTCATAATATTTACTTAATTTTTTCTTAAAAACAAAAACATATTGAATTGAGTAAGAGCATGAAATGAATAAAAATGACTAATTAATTATTTTTTAAATCTAAACGGACTATTCAATTCGTTTCCTAAAACTAGAGATATCAATTTATAATTTACTCTTCAAACGAATTTCGTTTCGAATCCGCAACCATTTGGCGGCCACCACCGAAGCTTAACCATATTTGGCATCTCCGCATCTCCTCAAAAGCATCTCCTCTCCCTTTCTCCTTCTCTTGCCAATTCCCTTGAAGCCCTCGTCCGTCGGTCTCGTCATCTCTTAAAATAGATTTTCTTAATTTCGTGCAAGAAACTGTCTGCCTTTCTTTTTCTTCATTTTCAACTGCCAGGAGGAACCGTAGGCAATAGTGTGTAGAATTCTCTCTTTTTTCCCCCTATTCCAATTTCTTCTTCTTTGACTGAGGAGAGCTTGAGCATTCCTTTATGTGAAGAATAATATCATCATCTGCCTCTTCAATTTCAGTATCAGGTACTATCTTCTCCTTGGTTTTGCTTTCTTTCTTGCTTTTCTTCTTACCCCATTATATTTTTCTTTGTTTCGAATTCCATAAATGACATCATCAGCTTAGAATTTCTTGAATTCTTATTTTGCACGAACCCATTTCTTGAATTTTTGTGGTTTGCTTAAAAAAATGAAATTTCTAAAATTTGGGTGTTATTATTTGTAATGATTGATATTTTTTATGGCATGCATACCTTTTTTTGACAGAGGATGGCTGGTGTAAATCAAAGGAGCGAGGATTCAAAGCTGATGTCTGAAACAATTGAGAAGCTTCCAGTAAGTGCTTCAAGGAAAGGAAAAGGGAAGAGATTATGGAAGAAAGTTAAGTATCAGCTTGTAGAGTACCATTGTTTGCCTGGATATTTAAGGGACAATGAGTTCATTTTGGGCCATTACCGTTCTGAATGGCCTTTAAAGCAGGTTCTGCTCAGTGTTTTCACTATCCACAATGAGACATTGAATGTTTGGACGTAAGTTTCTCATCTTATAGGAACCCACTCTTTTGTTTTTTGAAGGAGTTAAAAGACTCTTGTTTTGTGTTTGTGTGATTACTGTTGTAGATTTTGCCCATATGTGGATTGTTGTAGTTCTTTACTGTTTAGAGAAGATCGGTCACTTATATTTCTTTCTTGAATGTGAGGCTACAAAGAGCTATGTTATTGAGCTTAAATTCTGGATTTTTTAGTCAGTAACTCAACTCTTTGTTCGGTGAGCTAAAGGTTTGTTGATCCAAAATTTATTCATTTTAATCTGCCTGACTTATTTTGTAATCTTGACTTATTTCCTACATCCTTGAACTTGGTGATGCAATATTTGAAGCGACCTTTTCATATCTTTTGGCTCATAAGTTAGATGTTCTGCTTCGGGTCTTTAATTATAGATTTTTGGTTCATTGCAGGCATTTGATTGGGTTCTTCCTTTTCCTTTGTTTGACCATATACACTGCAATTGAGGTTCCAAAGGTTGTTGATCTTCATTCTTTACAACTTCCAGAGGTGTTGAAAGCCGATTTGCACAAATTGCAAGAATGCCTCCCCTCTTTACCCAACATGCATGATCTGCACAAACTTAGGGAGGAGTTGAAGAGTACATTGCCTTCAATTGATTTGCTTCCATCGCTCTCAGGATGGCATGTTATGGACCTTCTATACAATTGTTTGCCTGACCGGTTCTCCCATGGCAACCAGTCTGATGTTTGTGTTCTGGTAATTATCTTTTTTTTTTTTTTTTTTTTGCAATGCTTCAGATTATTGTATAATTTCTTTGAATTTCCTGACAATGAATTTTATATATCTTCATGTTTTCCTTATAAGAAAAGTTGGGAATCATTTTGGTTATTTGCCTCTCTGTTCTTGTCTTAACAAATGAAAGTATCTCGTTGACAATTTTGCTTTAGAACTTCTCTGTCTCAGACGTTTTGGCTTTACCTGTAAAGGATTGATTGTTCAGTTGCCATTGTCTGCTGAAGTATTCATAGTGTTAATCTTGTCATTTCTTAATTCTTATCACTTTTCATCCAGTTTAAATTGATATGACTTCTAAAATCTTATATTTTGGCTTTCAGATTATGTCTTCAGTCTTGCATTATGTATTCTAGCAAGAATGTTGTCTGAATTCACCCTGTGCTCCTTACAATGTTTAAGTTGCTAAAATGAATTGAATTTTCTGACCAGTTTGATGGCTTTCAATTGGTCTGATTGGCAGACTGTGTGTTTTGCTTGCTTTTGTTTGTTTGGCTGGAGGAGATTAAAGATTGAACACAACAACAAAGTTTTGGCATCATGGATAGACATGCATTTAGATCAGATTCCTATTTGGAAGCAAAATGGTTTGCAATCAATTTAAGATGTGCCTAAATTTATTAAAATGCTGATATCACAGTGGTGGTAAGATGCATGAGTTAGTTGATGAGACTGGTGTGCCATATTCTTGGTGTTTAGGTGAGGAAATGTGAATGTGTCCCTTGGTGAGGTAACATGATATGATGCTGGTAGAAACATCTGGCTGATATGTGAGGGAGAATTTAGAATTCATACTTCTGATTAAAGATATGAAGTCTCAGTGGCGTAAATAGTCTACTAAGAAGAAAGATCGTTTTCTTTTCAACTAATGTGTGAAGACATGACCATCTAGTATTGTTTTGTTTCCAATTAATGGGTGAAGACATGATCATCGAGCTTATATTGCAGAGTTTGTTCCTTAGTGTCAGTAAATACAGGCACATGAGTGATTGAGCATCAAAATGACTTCCTTGGTGCATCATTATGATTGTTTTTTTACATCTTTGTGAGATTTTGGAATATACCGAAATCGCATCATTCTATGAAATTCTTTCATCCTTCTGCTTTTGTTGTGGTGTGTTGGTTGACACTGATACTGTCTTGAATTTTGCTTTCATTGCATTTAAAGATTGGTTAAATTTTTGTTTGTAAATCAGAAATAGGTAACTTGCCAATTACATGAGCTTTGAATTTCGAAACTTCTCAACTAAGTCTCTGAGCAACAAATGGCTTGCAACTGAAATTTGTGCTGTTTGCATAGAAGCCTTTAGCATGTTAAAAAAATAGTTTAAGCTATCTGTGTATATGAATTAAACGAGAAGTGGAAAACGACATATCTACACTTTTAGGGTGCATCATTTGACAAGTTAAATGTAACATATAACTAAGTTCTACATAAAGTCACATGAGAACCTATTTGATGCTGAAGCTACATTTTGTTGAATGAGGTTTCATATCTAACACTGCCATCTTTTGCCATTGTTTTAGGTTTGCAACACCTTACATTTACATCTATTGCTGTGATGTTTCAATATATTTTTCACATGTATATGAGGCACACATTGATTCACCTATCTGTTTGAATTTAAAAGATCAAATGGTGTTTGTACGTTGATGATTAGAATTGCAGTCCAATCTATCAGTAGCTGCAAGGAGAAAAGGGTTTTAAAGAGCACACTTTATAGAAGCTGAATTTCAGCATTGCCTTTCCACTGTTTTGCATATTCAGCAGTTTGTGTATAGAATCTTCCATTTAAACTTCTATTTCTATTCCTTGTTGGTTTTCTTTTTACATCTTGAATCTTCAGTTGGCTAATGGTCTTTTTTTTTCTCCCTGATTAACTGCAGCGTAGCATGAAGGCGGAAATTGCTAACCTTATTGCACCCCTGATGATGAGGCCAATCACACGTTGGCCATTCTTTGCTTTCATGGGTGGGGCCATGTTTTGCTTGCTAGCTAGCAGCACGTGCCATCTTCTCTCCTGCCACTCCGAGCGCCTATCATACATCATGCTTAGGCTCGACTATGCCGGAATTGCAGCCCTTATTTCTACCTCCTTTTACCCTCCTGTGTATTACTCCTTTATGTGCAATCCTTTTTTCTGCAACCTGTATATGGGATTCATAACTGTCTTGGGAGTTGCTACAATTTTGGTTTCACTCCTGCCAGTGTTTCAAAACCCTGAATTTCGTACTATTCGTGCATCCCTCTTCCTTGGCATGGGTTTATCTGGGATAGGACCTATTCTGCACAAGCTTATCTTGTTCTGGGATCAGCCTGAAGCCCTTCACACGACTGGCTATGAGGTTCTGATGGGGATTTTCTACGGACTCGGAGCACTTGTTTATGCCACAAGGATTCCAGAAAGATGGATGCCTGGGAAATTTGACATTGCAGGGCATAGCCACCAACTTTTCCATGTATTGGTAGTGGCCGGAGCTTATACTCACTATCACGCAGGGTTGGTTTACCTCAAGTGGCGAGACCTGGAAGGATGTTGAGGAAAGTAAATAAATCCTGAATGCTAAAAGTAATTAATCGGTGGATGAGATCTTACATTTATGTCATTGTATCAATAAACAGGGTAGGTTGATGCAGTAGAAAAGCAAAATACTTCTCTGCTGCTGTTTCTGTGCATGGCAGCTAATGTCCATGAAAAATAATTGTAATCTCTCGAACTGTATCTTATTATCGCAATGGCATTGTAGAATTTGTATAGCTAGTCCTGAGTTGGAAAAAGAAATGGTGCGCAGTTTCTACTCTTTTGGTTTGAAACTTCAAAGGGAAAAAAAAAAAAAGGATGGGTTGGGATGACAGACTTGGTGATGATTCTATAAAAATATGGAAAAACCCTACAAATGATTCCATAAAAATATGGAAAAATCCTCAAAATCGCTTCTGTTTTCGTATCAATTTGTCTTTAAATAAGTCTGTGAAAAAGCTTACTCGTTTGTTTTTTTATACACAAAAAATAACACCCATAAGTTATTATAATTATTGATGCTTTCATTGAGAGTCGAACTCAAGACCTCCCGCTTACTAAACGGGTGCTCTAACCAACTGAGCTATGAAAGCAACCGTTAATTGTTTCTTGAATATGTAAATAAAAAAAAGATTTTCATGTCAGGGCTGGCAGCCAGAGAGTCACGTGAGAGACCTAGGGTAGGACCCAGCTGTGATCTGAACCATCGCTGTTGCCTTACCAAGTTGTCAGTCTCAATAAATTGACTCCGCACATTGAAGTAGGGTAAGGTTTGGCTCACCAACCTTTTCCCTAGTTTATTTACCAAGACATTAACTCTTTCTTTAAATAAAAGCTAAATTGCAAAGTACGTCTTTAAATTCGACCCGAAAAAAAGAATTAAAAAATTCTTGATTTATTTTATAAACAATATGATTTCTTAATTTTGTCTCTTCTATTAGGATTTTATTGAAAATTTGATGAAAAACTCCTTAAAAATCTTTTAGTTTCTCTCTTTTTTCTTCTAATAGACACTTTTTTTTTAGTTGACACACAGAAAATAGTAATTAAGAGGATTTTTATAACCTTTTTCACTTAATTTCTCAACAGAATTCTAACAGCTAACATTAAAAAATCATCATAAAAAATAAAATCAAATATTTTTAGTTCAATAAATATTTTTTTTTCACTCAAAGAGAAAAAGGTATTTTCCAAAAAAACAAAAAAAAAACTGAAGCTCCAAAGCCCAAACACACTTCTGACTCTAAACTATATACAGCTGGGCTGGGCTCTATCAAGATGGATACGGTTTTCGATGGAACAAACAAACAAGGAGGCATAGCATTAGCCGTATATGCATAAGAATAAGACGAATAGAATACCTCCTGTCAAGGGTTTTCACTATTCGATTTTAATAAAAAAAATTAAATCAAATCGATGTGTGTTTTCGTAAAATTTAAAAAATAAAAATCAAACCAAGATTTATTTTGATTTTCGAGTTCAATGAAAACCAAAAAATAGAATTATATATATATATATTTTGAAGAGTGAATAATCATCTCTTTCTCCTCTCTATTGAATAATTATATCGTTACATCAAAATCTTGCAATCATCTATATAAATGTTTAAACATTATAGGTATTTCATTTTAATTATAAAAAAAACAATAGAGAAATATATGAAAATTTAACATAAGTATTTATATTTCAAACTTGATTTTGTAAATATGTTCAAATATTAAATCTTCAACCACAAGATCATAATTGTTTGGAAAAACAGTCTTTAATGATCAACAAAACATGAAATTTTGTATCAAATATTAATACGAAAACATTATATTTTTTTCTTTAAGTTTTTCCCAAGAAAAAGGGTAAAAATTGAGTAACTACAAATCAAAATAAAAATTTTGGTTTTTTTAATCAAAATATCAAATAACATTTCGGTTCATTAATTTTTTTTTCTTGAACGTTGAGTAAATAAAAAATCGATTAAAATATTTTGAAGGCAAATCGAAAAACCAAAAGAAAATCCATACCTCCTTTCGTTTTCTCTTTCTTTCTTTGCTTCTTGAGAGACCCAAAAAGCTGATTATATGACACAAAAGAAAGAGATGATCTGTGCTGGTTCTGACTTGTGTGCTATAGGACTATCATTTCGTCGTGGCATTTGTGCAACTCTAGGAATGACAATTTGTCCTCCTCCAATAGAGCCTCGTCCCGCGTCAATTTTTTTCTCCGTTAATGCAAGGATTTTCTGTGTTGATCGGAAAACAGGACGGGGCACCCCACGAGCAGGAACGGGACGGAAATGAGATTTACGTGTCTTGTCCCGTTTACCTTGTTTGTCTCATTTTTTTTTTATTAAAATTATAATTATACTTCATATAAAATTATAATTAATGAATTAGATAAAATAAGATAAAAAAATAAAAATTGCTTTGTTTATGTTTCGTTTGTCCTACGAGGATCCTTGTCTCTGTTTGAGGTGGGGATAATATGAAAAATTTTATCCCATTCAGAGCACGGAGCAAAGACAGAGATCATTTTTCGGCGGCGGGGCGGGGACGGAGATCCCCATTGCCATCCCTAGCAACTCTCCTCTGCTGTGGAAAACTTAATTTTGGTTGTTAGTGGCAGAAAAACTTCAAGGTTTATTATACGTCTGCTCATTTCGTTTGTTTTCTCAAGGAAAGATTTATGCTTTCCGTTATTGGCCGTTTTGTCCTTTTGACGGGGAGTCTTGTTTGGTTTTCAATAAATTGCTATTTCAATCAGTATACCACAATGGCTCCCATATTCCACGTGACCTCATTAAACAAGAATAAGGTACCATGGTCTTTTCTCATAATGAATTTTTTAAAAAAATTTAAATACTTTAAATAGTTTATTTGAACTCGTAATTTTTTATAAATATGAAAAACCCATTATCATTAAATTAGAAATCTGTTGGTTCTGTAAATTAATTTAAAGAAAGCAAGTCTCTTAATTACGTTCGTGTATATATATATATAATGTTAACCCTGTAGTTAAGAAGATTTATTATTTATTTTTTTACAAAATTTTGAATTTTGAAATTAGAAGAATTTATTAAAAATATTTGAATGTACCAAGTGAATTGGAGGATTATATTTTTTAAATCACTTTGAATTTTTTTTTTAATTTTAATTGACATATAAGTTAGTTGGATGATATTTTTGTGGTTGAAAGAAAATATTATGAATAAAATAAATAAAAAAATTAATGTATATAAATAGTTGTTATAAGAACACTTGTATGATTATATGGAGTTTGGAGATTCGAGCTCTGTAAGTCAAAATTCCAAAAGCAAATAATGATTAATTATGCAATACAAAGATGAATAACGACGAACCTTAAAGATAGAATTAAAAAATTAGGTATTTTATTATAAAGGGAACGAACTTCTCAAGCGTAGAGGAAGGTGACGGGCATGGATGAAAATAAACTAAAATAAAATTTAAATAAAACTCAAACTGACAAAATTATCGCAAATGACGGACCTTATGCCGGATATGTCCAAAATCAGCCCAGGAAATATAGTACAGCTGAAAAAAGTGTCGGTCGATGCACTGTCACGTGTCATACTCCACGTGTCGCTTTTAAAAATGCATCAGCAACACGCGCCCCATCACAGCCGTGGTTCACGCCGAACCATATCTTACTTCTAAAATTCACATATGGCCCTCGACTTTACTCATTTGGTTAAATAAAATTTTTGAACTTTAAATCGGATCAAATCAATCCCTTCATTTTTCTTTAAAAAAAAAAAAAATTGAGGTCATCCATCGAATGAATTCTTAACCAGTCATTTATCAAACCAAATTGGATAGATGGATAAGTACAGGGAAGACAATTTTTCAATATCATTAGGTACTCAGAAGCAACCAAATTTGATTAATACCATATTAGGATATGTAATACTTCATCTATCTCAAAGAAATTGTCTCTATTTTTATTTATATTTATTTCAAAATAATTATCTAATAAATTATATTTTTTAGAAAATTCTTATTTTGTAATGTAGAATTAAATTGCATAGATTTTTTTCTTAAATAAAAAAATATTTTAAAATAGTATCATTAAAAATACCGATATGGTATGATAATTAATAAATTTTTTAAATTGTGTAAAAAAAAACTATCATTTGGGAGAGAGAGTTTCTACTCTAATAAATATGATATTGAAAAACCTAAACTTTCAATTAGTTTAATATTGATTTAGTTTAAAAATTTAGTTATGTAAAATATCAAATTTAATATCTCGTAATTCATATTATTTAATTATTACTTAGTTGGCCATTTTATTTTTTATTTTCTAATATCAAGAATGTCTTGATATTACAGTTTGAATAATTTATTTTTAACATATAATTTTAACTGAATTTTGGTGCGGTTGTATGATATATCAATTTATAAGGTTTTTTTTTTTTTTAATTATGGCTTTAACTAGACGTGGAGAAATTTCTGGCATCCAATTCAACATAAAAACCAATCCGAACAAAAATAGAAATACAAGGATCATATATGATTTTTAGCCCTAATTTAACCAGTCTGGCGCATTTTAGCATCGTGGGCGTCATGAAACCGACGCTCTCGCCTCTCCACTTTACTGACAACAACGAAGACTGCCTCCTCATTTGCTCTCTCCTATAAACCCCACTAAAATTTGCGTCAGGAAAATCGGAATTACACCCGTCTTTGCTTGCTTAAACCCTCCTCTCTAAATCTAGGAATCAATACTGGTAGATGCATTAAATCCTCCTTATGTAGTAAACTTTCACTCTCACTACTTGCCAAAACACAAGCCAAACAAAACACTAACCTAGTTGATCTCTCTTTCTTATATATATATATATATATATATATATATATATATATAGCTGTTGTTTGTAAAATGGTCACACCAGAATTGTCCCAAAACAAGTCTCACTACTCTCCAATGGCAAAAGCAAGTGTTAGAAACAAAACCTCCTCTTGGTTCAGTGATGGGTTTCTCTATCTTGGTGGTGCTTTACTAGCCTTTTTACTAGTTTGGTCAGTTTGGTCCTACGCAGTTCCTAACAATTTCGACCCCAAAATGAATACAAAATCCGCCGCCACCACGCGAAACCAGCAATGCGTTCAAGAAAAGCCTGAAGTCAATTTGCGCTACGACCCACCAGAGCAAACCTTCTATGACGATCAAGAACTGAGTTATTCGATCGAGAAACCCATCAGGAACTGGGACGAGAAGCGAAAAGAGTGGCTTAAACATCACCCTTCATTTGCCCCTGGTGCTCGTGATCGTGTGGTTCTTGTGACTGGATCGCAACCAAAACCATGTAAGAATCCAATGGGTGATCATTTACTTTTAAGATTCTTTAAAAACAAAGTTGATTATTGTAGAATCCACGGTTATGATATCTTTTACAACAACGTTCTGTTACATCCAAAAATGAAGAGCTACTGGGCCAAACTACCGGTCGTCAAAGCAGCCATGTTGGCTCACCCAGAAGCTGAGTGGATCTGGTGGGTCGACTCGGATGCTATGTTCACCGACATGGAGTACAAGCTTCCGTTACGGCGTTACGATTACAAGAATCATAATCTGGTGGTTCACGGTTGGGAAAAACTGATTTACCAGAGGAAGAGTTGGACTGCTCTAAACGCTGGGGTTTTTCTGATTAGAAACTGTCAGTGGTCCATGGATTTCATGGAGAAATGGGGAAGTATGGGTCCCATGGGTCCTGACTATGCGAAATGGGGTCAGATCCAGCGGTCAGTATTCAAGGACAAACTGTTCCCAGAGTCAGACGACCAGACGGGTTTGATTTATATGCTTTACCAAGATAAGAATTTAATGGACAAGATTTACTTAGAAGGAGAGTATTATTTTGAAGGGTATTGGGTAGATATAGTGCCAACGTACGATAACATAACGGAGAAGTACACGGAGTTAGAAAAAGAAGACGGGAAATTGAGGAGACGACATGCAGAGAAAGTGAGTGAGCAATACGGTGTCTTTAGAGAGCCACACTTGAAAGAGGCCGGGAGCGGCAAAGGGAGCTGGAGAAGACCGTTTATTACGCATTTTACTGGCTGTCAGCCTTGTAGTGGGGACCACAATCAGATGTATCAAGGGGAGACTTGCTGGAATGGGATGGTCAAGGCCTTGAATTTTGCTGATAATCAAGTTCTGAGGAAGTATGGTTTTGTACACCCGGATTTACTGGATTCTAACACCGTCACCGAGACGCCGTTTGATTATCCCGATGAGGGGCCTTGGTAAACAAATAAAAAACAACTACAGCAACATCCAAAAAAATAAAAAAGGTAAGTTCTTTTTTTGATTCACACTGGTTATTGTTATATATATATATATTATAGTAATTTGTAACAAGTTTGGAGTAATAATGATGAATTTATAAACATTTTAATCGTTGATTTGGTGGCCATGGTGTTTTTTACTGTCTTTAGAAAAGAGTTTAAAACGTTAGATGATTGTTTTATAAGTACATCAACTCTTAATGTTTTTTCAAGAGAGTATATTGAAAAAACCAAGCTTTTTAAAACTGTTAATATAGGATTTTTTTTCATTTAATTTTTATCAATTGCTTTATTATTGGATGATGTGTTATTTATCTAACACTACTTAGTTATGATTTTGACGTTTTATTCTTGAAAGAAAATTTTTTCCCCATATTATTTTGTCCTCTTTTACGTTTTAGGTTTAAAGATAATTTGAGTATTTACTATATGCACAACAAGTAGAGAAGGGAAAAATAATTTGAAAGGAAAAGCTTGTCTAAGAATGAAAGGACAAAAAAAAATCATAATTTAGTAGCTTAAGGCACAGAACACATCATTAGATAATAGAGCAATTGACATAAGTTGAATGAAAAATACTTGATTGATAAATTTGAAAAAAATTATTATACTCAAATGAAAAAAATTAAAATTCATGTCTATGATTGAGAAAACGGTAAAAATTTGATGAATTTACAGTGCAATTATCCCTTAAAAGAAAAAAAAAAACACTATGACCATAATTGAAGGCTTTGCACCCATAATTAGAAGCACCGACAAGCGACAAACATGTAGTGGCACTGTTTTACATGGGCATCTCGAGGTTCTTTATTCCATTTGGTTGCTTTATCATCCACCCCTCCTCCATTTCCTTTTGCTTTTATATTCTCATTATAATGTGCAAGTCTGTTGATATTCTTGCCTTTTCTGTTGATATTCTTGCCTTTTGGGGCTTAAACTAGTGCATGATTGAAGGATGATGTTACACCTATCAAGGACTTTGTATGACAAGATTAAAAGAACGATTTTGTTAGGTGGGTGGGTGAGTGAGCTTATGCACATGAAGATCAATAGAATTTCAGGCATGACACTTGAACTTATGTTTGACTAAATCATGGTGATTTTTTACCACATGATAGGGACAAAGATCTTCATATTCTAAAGTGGTCAATGACACCTTGGTAGTATTTTATTCTACCAAGGCCAAGTGGTTGTTGTGGGAAAAAGATAGCTGTCTTGGAATTTTTACATTTCCAAGCTAGACATCCTGTTTATGTTGTACCCCACCTGTAGTAGATTTGTAACTCCCTTACGTTGGGTTAAGGCAATGCCTATGTTTTCAACAACAGCATTCTTCTCTATCATTGGATTTGGATATAATAATAAATCCAATGCTTCAAATGGGCATTAACATCGAGCTGATTTCCAAAATCCCAAATCCTTTTATTGCATGGATTCACCAATTCACCACAACAGTTTTCTGTGACTTTGATGTGTCCTATCTGTAATTTATGACAAGGATTTTCAGCTGTGTTATTTATGAGATTGATTTGAACGTGGTAAAGCACTGCATAAAATATGAATTATACATGATTTCTTAGTACTTATGCGTGTCTTTGGTTGAATGGCAGAAAACCTTAACTAGGATAGTTCAAGCCTTCCATTCTGGAGCACTCATGCGACATGGCTGCGTATTTTCTGTTGGCAAGGGATGGCTGAACTAATATGCAGCGGTTGTCCTCAAGTAGTCTTGCTTAAGGAAGTGGATTGTGTTTCATCAGCGTCTATGTATACATGGAGAGACTCTTGCAGAATTTAGTCGTTTCAGTCTTTGTAGGTATTTCCTCATGAGAAATGATGATATATGTACAGTAATAAAATATCTTTTGATTATTACGAGTGAAAAATTTGGAATGAAAATATAGGAATCGAAATGACACTTTCATTTCAATGACATGTTAAAAATATAATAAGACATGTAAATGAAATTTAAAATTTTTAACATCTAGTTTTTTAATATAAATAAAAATAATGATTAAAAATGTATTTTTATCAATTAAGATGATAATAAAGCTGATAATGTGATTATGGTTGTGATAGTGGTTTTAATAGTGGAAGAAGATATAAATAAAAATAGTGATTAAAAACATATTTTCATTAATTAAAATGATAGTAAAACTAATAAGATGATTGTGGTGATGATAATGGTTACAATGGTAAAAGGAGAGATGATTGAAATAATAATAGAAATAACAATAATATATATTTTTTAAAAGTTGATACAGTCATTATTGTTGCTAATAACAACAGCGTTGCAGCCACGGTAGTATCAATGGTAAAGATAGCAATAGTAATAGAAATAATTGACGTATAACAATAAAATAATATATCATTTTTTTTTGAAAAAAATATTATTTCTATTTTTTTTTATTCTCACTTTCCTTTGTAAAAATATAACTATGTATAATTTTTATTTTTATTTTTTTTCATTATATTTCTTTCAACAAATATATTTAAATTAAAAGTAAAATTTTCATTTTTATTTTCGTTATTTTATTCTACCGAACAACATCCACTTGCCACGAGTGAAAACCTGGAGGTTTGGTTTGGTCTTGTATCATTATCATCGTAGCACGATAGTTGGTCAGTAACATCATGTTTCATAAAACCCTTTGAACCGAAGCTCTTCATTTCTAAAGCTTGAATTTTTCAACTCTTTGGGTGCAATTTTTGTTGTTGTCCTACCATTACTAGCAAGCAGCAACGGGAATAGGACGACTGTGCAATAATTGGCAAATTGTATCTTGTTCAAGCAAAGTTGTGCATGCCCTACTCGTCCCTCTTATCTCCTACTAATCCCGTGTTACATACACCTGTGCAATAATTGGCAAATTGTATCTTGTTCCCCTACTACTTCACCTAAAAAATGGGATCCATGAGAGGGAAAAAAAAAAAAGGCAAGCTGTGTCTGTTCTCTTGCAAAATTTCTGTCATTCTTTCACGCAATCCCGCTTCCTCTCGCTCTCATGTCTTGACTTTTTTAATAACAATTATTCTCCTCTTTCATTACTTGTCGCTGTTTCGTTCTCATTTGTAGTACAAAAATTTACGCCTGGAGGGAATAATGGTTGGAAATTTCAACAGCTGCATGATTCCAAATGCAAAAGCTATCAGCTAGAAAATTGGGTGGTCCAGAAACTTGTAGTTGGCATATACTCAAATCACCTCTCTTCTACAATTTCTTGTTGTTTGCATATACGTACTCAATCACCATTCGTTTACAGTTTCTTTTCGTGTTAGGCATAATGGTCAACAGATTTACATCAGATTTGGATAACAATTCTGAAAAATGGTCAACAGACAATTTACCCAAGTCAATATCAAGTTAAGTGAGAATTGGTTATGACGTACTTACCACTTATATCGGTTTGGTTTTCTTATAATCTGGATATGCTCTTCCCGCCCCAACCAGTCTTGTCCACAAAATATATGGCACCCCTGCTTGAAAAGAAAGGGAAAAGACTAACAAAGATGTGAATTAGGAAAGATTGTTTGACTGCTTTGGCAGATCGTTTATCCCTGTTCACCTTCTGTGCAAGAGCGTTCGATCAGTGAGCCCATGGTCCTGCTGTTCGACTAAGAATTAGGATGCACGATCTACCAATGGCGTACTTTCTTAGGAGTTTAATGCACATAGAAATTAGCAGAAAATTCCCCACTGTTGCCTCCAGCTCCGGCCCTTCCACTGCATTCCAGGGCAAGCCCCTACTAGACCCTATTATTCCTGTCAATCTTGAAATCATATTCGTATTAGGCATTTATAGCATGCTCAAGCTCTGAAAAGACAATAGAACAGTATTTAGTTTGTTTGCGAATCCACCCTAATGAACATCTATCAGAATAGAGGCTGCTATTTGATTTTTCTTTTATCTGCAATTTGTAAGAACTAGCATCATAATTTTATAACTCTGTTTCAAGAATCCAAGGAACCTGAAGCCATGCACTCTACAATGAATACACACTGTTGCAGCAGATAATGAAAGATCACATTGAAGACATCTGAGCTAATAGTTAACCAAACGCTCTCAGAAAGGCAAAGCATAGCATCATGTCCAGAGGGATTAAAAATAAAGCATTAGTGCTATCTACATCACCATTGAGGACTGTAAACTGAAATGATGCCTTGTTGTCTCACAACCTTTCCTTGTTGGTTTCTGGCATGTCGATGCAGCACAAGGAAATTTGATGGATGGCATTTCTCAAGTACATTTCTACTCCAATTTCTAATCTTGATCACAAGTCTCCTTGGTTGGAGACTTCAAAGTTTGGCCCTGAACACCCGTCTCCACAATGGAAGATTTCAACCTTTCCCTTGCCAACCTCTTAGCCATCCTCCTCTGCTTTAGCTTGCTCTTGTTAGCACCACCTTCTGAAGAAGCACATAGACAAATAAAAGCATAAGTTATTTGCATAATAATAATAAATAAATAAATACATCAAGAGGTCTGTTGATTTTCTTACCTGGGTTGTTACTGGCAGCAGCACTAAACTGACTATAATCTTCATCAGCATTTTGTCGAACGTCTGGGGTGCGTTCTTTAACTGCACTACTAGAGTCACCTTTTTCGTCATTGCTTGACAAAGGCAATGGCCCAATAGTTTTTCCTCGACGAGAAATATCTTCCTTAAGCTTCCTTCTGCGTAGCCTCTTCCTCTGAGCCCTAGTTAACTTCAGGGTCTCTAATTCTAACCCGCCCTCACCACCATTATCTTCCTCACTTGCTGATGAACTACTCTGTTGCAGCCCATAGTCATCTGCATTAAAAACCTCAATTTTTTCAAAATGTTGTGTTTAAGTGACTAATGACTTTTGATTAAACAACAACATAAACCCTTCAAACCTGGGATCAGACTAACATCAAACCCTTCATCCGCTGTGCTAGCAGGACGTTTCCCATCTTCTTCTGCCTGCATTTCATTTAATCCATTCAGAACTTGAATAAAAGAAACAAAAAAAAGGAGAGTAGAAAATTACAGGCATTGTACTCGACAGAAATTGTACCTGGGGTTGTGGATAAAGTGTGTTAAGAAGGGCCTCATGGAACTTGCGTCGTTTCTCTTCACTGCGCATTCTTGTCTCTTAGCTTGGTGAATTGCTGCACATCCGAAGCAAAAATAAAGTGACGACAAATATAATAACGCAAGTCTTGAAAATATATATAATTCAATTTATAATTTTTTTTAATAAATTAAATTAAGAAAATATTAAAAAATTTATATGTGATTTTTTAAAAATATAATTGTTATCATTGAAGGATATGCTTTATTTAAACTTTATAATAAATAAAATCTAAATTTTAACCTAGTTTCATATTTATATATTTTTCACATTTAAATTTTTACTATTTAAAAATAAATATCATATTGCAAAAAAAAAAAAAAAATGATAAATATAATAACACAAGTCTTGAAAATATATATAAGTCAATTTATAATGTTTTTCAAGAAATTAAATTAAGAAAATGTCAAGAAATTTATATGTGATTTTTTGAAAATACAATTGTTATTGTTGAAGGATATGCATTATTTGAACTTTATAATAAATAAACTCTAAATTTCAACCTAGTTTCATATTTATATATTTTTCACATTTAAATTTTTACTATTTAAAAATAAATATTATATTGCAAAAAAAAAAAAAAAAGTGATGACAAATATAATAACACAAGTCTTGAAAATGTACATAAGTCAATTTATAATTTTTTTTCAAGAAATTGAATTAAGAAAATGTCAAGAAATTTATATGTAATTTTTTGAAAATACAATTGTTACCGTTGAAAGATATGCATTATTTGAACTTTATAATAAATAAATTCTAAATTTCAACTTAGTTTCATGTTTATGCATTTTTCTCATTTAAATTTTTACTATTTAAAAATAAATATTATATTTGTTATATAAATATTATTTTTAATTTTGGATCGTATTATTATCATATATCGGATCGTCATATCGGATCAAAGTAGATTCATATTTGATCAATTTAATAAATTAATTAATATATTTAAATCATAATCAGATTCAAATTTAAAAATATTATTTATCAGATTCATTTAATTATATCGGATTCAGATTGAATTGGGGTCAAGTTCTAATTTATTTACAACCCTAACCATATGGCCTATGTAAAAGCACTTGTTTTGGGTGAATGTGAAAAAGCCCCCTTGTTGCTTTATTGAAATCGTAAGAAAGAGAAAGGACATTTACATTTTCCAGAACATCCAAATTTCAAATTTTTATAACCAAGGCACATCTGTTTCAAAAAGAAAAAAATTATTTATATTTGTCTTGTTTGATCAAAACTTTAAATTATATAATTTTTTAAAATACTCATAATTGATAAAGTAAATCGATTCTTTTTTTTCATTTCTTGTTATTCACTAACAAATAATCAATATTTTTTATATTTTCCTTTATACATACAAATACATTTAATATAAAAATTTCAATTTTTTTTATTACATGAATATGTTATTTTGTCATAATTTTTTTAAAACTTGATCGTTAATTAACTTAGTGATTTTTTTTTTAATTTACCACCTTAATTTTGAATATTAAAATTGATAACTAACATTTTTTTTAAAAAAAATAGTATTTTAAGAAAGTATGAACACAAAATATTGAAATGATGTAACAATTAATAATTTTTTAAAACTATATGAAAAATCAAAAAGAATAATTTTTTTTAGACAGAGAGTATTAAAAATATTTAAAAATTTAAATTAAAATAAATTACTTTAAGCATCGCATACTTTAAGCGTGATAATACCTTATAACCTATATTTTTATAAATGATACTTTACATCTTAAACATTTGAATGTTATTTTAAAAAATACCATGTATTTTAATTTCGCTAACATAAATAAGTTTACAGAAAAAAAAAACATGTTAAAATTATTACAAGTTTGCTATTAAATTTTTTTTTAATGCTAAAAATATCCTTTTCAAATATTTATATCTTGAAAAACAAAACTAGCCGAACAAGTTTGTAAATTTTATCAAGCAACCTATGTTTAACGTTAAATTGCATTTGACTGACTAGCTAGGAGTGCCGTTTTTGTACAAGACATACAAACATTTTAAAAACAGTATTTCTCACGTCTCTAAGCTAATTAATTTTTCTTTTTCTTCGTTTCCATCACAAATTATACTGTAATTAAAACCCAGATGAAAGATTGATCAGATTAAACCTTAAAGCCAAAACAATATCATGCCACATAAATAATTTGATTTTTTTGTTGAATTAACGTCAATTTGGCTCATTATTATTATTATTTTATTATCACATTGATCATCAATAACGAAGAAGCTCATTATTTTTTGTATAATTAATAATAAAGTGACTATCAAGAGTATGAACCAAAATGGTGTGCATTATATAATTTAAGCAAATACGACTGCTAATTAAAGTGACTATCAAGACCATAAAAGAAACTTTATTTAGCAACAGTTTAAATTATTATTAAATAAAAAAATTATCGCTAATTAATTTTAGCGATGGTTTAGAACTATCGCTAAAACACTCCTCACTAATTAATTAGTGATGGTTCAAGTATTTTATCGCTAATGTAGTGATAGTTTATCTAAATTATCGCTAAATGATCATAAAAAATCAAGTGGATTTAACGACGGGTTAGAATATCATCACTAATTTTAGTTTGTATTTAGCGATGGTTTGAAGATACTATCGCTAAATTTAACCTGAATTTAGCCACAGTTTTACAAAAGGAACTTCATTTGTCAAAGGGACAGTAGTGAACAAAGTTTTATTGCCAAGCTCAGCAACAAAGGCAGACTCCTGCAGTGTTCCCAGGCCTCCAATAGCTTGTACATGTTGTCTTCTGCTGAGGGTCCTAGCTGCAATAAAGTTTCTAACTTTATTTATAATCTACTTAATTATTCGTGCTTCCAAAAGAGTTAAGCAGGAAGTAAATCAGGAACAGCGATGTCTTAACTAAAACCTTATTACAAAAAAGCTAAACTAAAACTATTAGTTACTATTTATTATATTATTTGAAATATTATTCATCTAAAATCATTTACATTGTTTATCTAAACTCAGTTACACTATTTATTTTACCATGCAGTGATTTTTTTTATAGTTTTCAAATATTGTTAAGATATTTATTATGAAAGTTTTTGTAATATTAAATTTTAATTTCTCTTTTTTAAATATTATTTTTTTAATCCGTAGATATTTTTTATTTCATTTTGATCTAGTTTTTTTGTTTTATTTTGGTCACTTTGGTCATTGTTTTTTTTTTAATTAAAAATTTTAAGCCAAAAAAATGTTTAGAGAAAAACAACTTACAAAATAAGGTTTTAGCTATAAATGTGGATAGAAAGAAATAAATGATATTTTTTAATAAAAAAATTATGAAAATATAAAGAATAATTAGTCAAATACCAAATTTTGATTAAAAAATGATGAAATTAAATGATTTTTTTATTCAATTTTGATTTGATATATTTTAATAAACGTATAATATAAAATAAAATATTAAAATAAAATAATTTTTTAAAAATAATTTAATGTATTTTGTCTGATCGCAGTATCACATGGATAAAATAATTAATTGGATCTAATTTTTAATGTTTTTTTACGACAGCAACTTGTGCCCTACTTTTTGAACATTTGTTAGCAACCAACAAACCCATCTCCATAGCCACATTCATGATCCGATCTCACGCCAACTGTTCAGTGGTCTACTTCAATTTCAATTGTATTAATGCCCATCAACACAACGACACCCACTTGCCCAATTCATTCAAACAACGGGGAAAAACAAACTTTCTAAGAGGAAAGTCAATGATATATCATTAGGAGTCAGAAAATAATTAATTGCTTAAAAAAACTGAAGTCCAACGAAAAAGATAAAAACTTTGATAAATATCATAGTGAAAAACATAAATATAATGAATACCCACTTGCATTCTTGACCATTCAATAAGGAAAAAAAAAAAAAATCTCATATCAAATATTTTATTTGCTTGGAAGTACCTCAAGGTCAGACACCATAAGCAAGAAACAGAAGCCAATCCTCTGCTCCAACCTCCAGCTAAAATTTGCACCTTCCCACCAGCTATTTTACTTGCTTAAAAGTACCTCAAAGGAGTTAATTATGTTATCAGGTGTTAATTAACTTATTTAACACCTAATAAATTTATTTTACACTTAAATAAATTACACTAACACCTAATTAAATTTTTTTAACATCAAATTAATTTAATTAACACCTAATTATATTAACTTAACACCTAATTATTTTTTTTAACAATAAATCATTTAATTAACATCTAATTATATTGATTCAACACCTAATGAAATATTTTAACACTTAATTAACTCATTTAACACATAATAAAATTATTTTAAAACAAATTAAATTTTTTAACAATTAATTAATTTAATTAACACACAATTAACTTATTTTAACACCTAAATAACATAATTAACACCTAAAAAATTATTTTTTTACCTAAATAAATTACCTTAATACCTGGTATAATTATTTAACAACTAATAAATTATCCCTAACAAGAAAATAAATTAAATTAACTAACAATTAACAAATATATATATATATATATAAACAGCAATCTATCTACATTTAACAAAAAAAAAAAAAAAAACCCAAGAACTCACCTTAGGAGAGTGGGAAGCCCACAGATGGAGGAGGAGTGAAGGGAGGAGGAGAAGGAAACGAGAGAAAGAAAATAATTTGTTTTTGATTGTAAATAAAATATTATGTAAATACAACTGCTCAAAAAGTTTTTTATGCACACATAAATTTAAAATCTAGATCATTTATTTAAATGACTAGAACTTTTTCTCTTTTTCTTCTGATGTCGACTTTTTGAATTATGATGGTTGCTATTTACAAAAAAATATTCATGCCAACATAACGTTGAAATAGCAAGCAAGTTTCCAATGGGCCTTTATGAGAAGCTTAGAAGAAAGGATATAGGAGTGTAAAATGTTCAAGGAAATAAGCTACTAATGTATTTCCGTCTTTTCATTTAAGCGCTAATCACAATAAATAAATAAATCATTAGGACATTCTTCACTAACTTTTAAAGCTAATTAGTCCATTGCTATGGAATAAGTATAAGTTAGTCCTTCAATTTAACTCCTTCTGAATTATCCTAAAAATAAAAAATAAAAACATCAATTCCTTCCAAATTGGCACTTGGATAGAATGTTCGATTTTTTGGATAAGTACTAAATGAATCTTTATACTCTTATTTTATATTCAATTGCATCCTCTATTGTTATTAAAAAAAAAATCAAAAATATACAAAAAAGAAAAAGAAAAAGAAAATCTAAAGTATAAAAACGAAGAAGGAAGTATATCTATCTAGATTGTATCTTCCATCAAATAATTAAACCAAATTGAATCCGTATGTAAGAACAAATTGGCCAAACAAATTCAACGATACTTGTATTAATCCAATCTAAATAAGCAGCTGTATCCACTATATAGCAAAAAGTGCTGAAATCTTTTATTTCCTTTTTAGAATATTCACCAGTGTCTAGCAGATATTGCTGCTACTAAATCACAAAAACACTAATGTTGCTTATTTATCTTAATATATAATTTGCGTACCAGTGCTTAAAAAAAATACTATAAGATGCTTCGGTTGTTTTTTTTTTTACTTATGATTTTTTATTTTAAGGATGAAAGTGTTTTTATATTTTGAAGTAATTTATTTTAATTTTTTCATGAAAATCTTGAAGCTATTTGCTTAATATTAATTTCAATTCAAACAATACAACAATAAATTACCAAATAATTGAGCGTCTAACTCAAAACACAATGCATCACTCCATTACCAAATAGTTTAATATGTTTAATCTCACGATATAGTGTAATACAATACCACACAAGATAGCGTAGCACAATACAACGATCACAGTACATTGGGAGACAAACAGACTTTGGTGTAGATTGATAAATAATTTTGTTTTCTATGCAGATTATTACATATATATTCATGGTAATGACAGAAGTTATGGAAAAGAAAAGACATGTCTTGATGAATATGGTATATACAATGTTTGTTTAAAGTTGAGGAAGTAACTTAATTTTGAAGCAATTTCAATTTAGTCTAAATCTATATACACATTCTCAATTGCATCCCAAACTTATAAATTTTATTAATTAGATCTCAAATAATTTCTACAATTCTCAATTGTATCCTTTTGTTCATTTCTTTTAATAGTTTAAGTCTAATATGTCGATTTGAAGAAAATTTGACAAGCAAATTAATGAAAATTAGCACTTTTATGTCTAATGTGTATATTTTATAACTAAAATAGAGTCCATTTGAAGAATGATAAAAACGTTAATAAAATTAATAAAAAGACTTAATTGAGATTTTTTTTAAATGTTTGGGATCCAAGTAAGAAAATTTATAGATTGGAACCAATTTAATATTTTCTCTTTAATTTTTATAAGCCAAAACTAACTCGAAAATAGGAGTAAAATTAAATAGCTTGAAAAATGCTACTTGATTTTGCGATTAGCTAGCCATTGTTTCCTGTGTAGAAAAAGAAAAAAATAATGCATGACTTACAAGGATTCGATCGGTCAAGAAAGTAAAACCCTTTTTTTTTTTTTTTTTTTCAAAAACTGAAAATTTTTATTTTTTTTAAAAGGTATTTATGTACATCTATTTTTATATGATACTCAAAGTCTCCTTATGTTCCTAGATTTTTAATTGCATCTTATTCTTTTTTAAAATATTCAATCTATTATTTCGATCAAATTTTACAACCATGAGCCTTTTTTTTCCATCGAAATGCTCTATACTAAAATGTCAAAAAAGAAAATAAAAAACAAAAAAAACTTAAAAAATCACATGATCGACTTGCTTTATTTTTAAAGTTTTAGAATTTATTTATTTATTTTTGCATTCCGATTGAGAGTATTTCGGTTAACAAAATTTTATTTGACTGAAAAAATTGATCGGAAGAATAAATTGAATATTTTAAATACTTTCAAAGATAAACGAGATATAATTAGAAACTTAAAGACATATAAAAGACTTTAAATATTATATAAAGACATATGAGTATATTTATTTTTTCTTCTTTTAATAAAGAAAATTTTCAAATCAATATCAATATGTATATCAATTAAGATTAAGTAGTTTTCTCGAATGATTTTTACAACATACAGTATATCAATATAATACATTTAAGAGTGCCAGATTTAAGATTCAAATTTAATTAAAAACATGAAGAACAGAGCAAACTTAATTATCAGATCAGAGTAATAATTAACGCATAATAATTGCGAACTCGGAACTTTACTTAGTCTGATGAGCCGGCATAAAACTCTCTACTTACTTGCCTGTTTTTCATGCCCGGCCATTGGACTTTTGAATCAGTCCAATTGATAAGTTGTTTATCAGTCAAGGCATCTTTTATTCAGCCTAACATATTTGAACAAATCAACATTTTTTTTTAATGAACACCCTTACTTGTTATTTGGATTACTAACTGATTGTGTTGAGGAGTAAATTGTAAATTAGCCCCTCTAGTTTTGAGAAAAAAATTAATTAGTCTTCTTGTTTTAAAAAATAATCATTTAGTCCTTTTTTGCTCTTTTCATGGTTTTTTTTTTCTAATTTGTTTTGTCTTGTTTTAAAAAAATAGAAAAAGGAAAAAAATAGATATTATGAAAAAATTGATGAGAAAATAATATACATTTTAAAATAAAATAATATTAAATTAAGAAAGATCAACACTAATTAAGAAATTAAATAATTAATTTTTGAAATAAAAAGAACTAATTAATTCGGCTTTTAAAACTAAAGGGACTAACTTATAATCTACTCTTTGATTTAGTCAAGGCCGGTTTAGATTGGTTTGTCTTGCCGCCTTCACACTCTGCGTGCGAAATTTGGAAATTATAAAACCAGACTTGCTGCCAAAGGCAAGATCACATACATTAATGACCCAGCCGTCTAATGAGGATAAAATAACATATTTATTTTTATTATTATTGAATTTGAAACCTTTTCAGATAGAAGAAGAGTAAATTATAAATTAGATTTTCTAGTGATGAGAAATGAATTAATTAATCATTTATATTTAAAAAATTAATTATTTAGTTTTTTTTTCAAATTTATGTTATTTTTAATTTATTTTGTTTTAGAAAATAGAAAAAAATAAATGAGTACTATGAAAAAGGAGATATTTTTTTTGAAATAATATAGTATTAAATTAACTGTGCTCAATACTGATAAAAAATTAAATAATTAATTTTTAAATAAAAATAATTAATTAATTTGTTTCTCTAAATTAAATGGATTAATTTATAATTTACTCTCGAAAAGAAATATAAATGTCAGCTGAAATTACAAACTCATTGATGGAAAAAAAAAATCAGATAAAACTGATGGTACCAATTGCTTCACAATGTCCACAAAAAAATTCAAGACAAGAAAAGGCAGGAAGATGATATTGACAGAGAACTTTGAAATCAAGTTTATTTCTTCGATTTATTACAAGACAGGCCATCCACGTCAGGATTAGCGTCGAAATTCATGATGATTCTCTCGTTTAGATTCTCTATTTATAGTCAATAGCGAAGAAAAACGTTCCCCTTCGTCGTCAGGAGTCGGACCAATCAGGCTGCCAAGCTTTCTTTTCAATTGTTAAAAACAAGAATCTGAACATTACCTGTGCCGAAGTTGGAATCTTTCACAGGCCATTACAGATACTGTAAATACCGATGACAAACAAGGAATCGAGCTAAATTTGACAAACAAGAGAACAATAAAGATTTACACGATTTGGCTTGAAATGACATAATAAACAGTTCAGTAATCGAGGAAAAACTCTGTTTTGACATTTGCATAGTTTGGAAAACACTAGACTTAGTTTTACATGATGCAAATTAAATTATTCTGAAAATACCTCAAAACCTGTAAATTTCAGGAGAAAAGGTTTGACAAGGGAAGAGAGAAGAGAACTTGGGCAGCCGGCAACCCTTTTCCTTTTGCTTAAAACCCCCCAGTAGGAGTTCTTTTAGTAACAGCATAGCTTCTGCTTCTGGGAAAAGCATCAGTCTTAACCTTGACATCCTGATCTTCATCGAAATCACTTGGTGTTTCTTCATCGATCCTTCCAATAGCAACGCTACGATTCCTGGGCATATCGTCTGCTACTTTAGTTGCAGCTTGTTGATGAGCACCATATTGTTGTTGTCTTGTAGGAACATCCATATTAATCCTGCTGTTGCTACTTCTTCCTAAAGCACTCCTCGTGGAGGCAGCCCTTAAAAGCTCCCTATAATCATCATCGAAGTGGTTTGATTTTGTGGAGCTGACACTGTGACTTCGAGGCAGGTTGTTTAAATTGCCTGTAGGGCAACTCATCACATAAACCTGATCTGAGTATTCAGCCATGCCTTTCATGTAGAAGTCCCTGGCGCTGCTCAAAATCCTGAGGGGTGCCTTCAGAATCCTCTTTAGTTTGCTTTCTTTTTAGGCTTCTTATTGGCAGCCATCTTTTCTTAAGGGTGATGACGAATATAACAGGGTTTTATGGGAGATAATTAATGGAAGCAAGAAATGAGAAATAGCAAGAAGAAGAGAAGAATTTAGAAGGGAAACTCAGAAGTCATGTTAGACTTGTGGACTCTGGACAGGAACTAATAGATAGGTATGGTGCTTTGGATGGGTATATATTTGCAATTGCAAGGGCTGGTAGGCAAAAATAAATGTGGAAATACAGGGGGCGGATATGATCGCAATTACTAATTTACTATATATGGAATGCTGGGGCAAATAGCAATTTTTTTTTTTAATCAGCTAGCTGAAATAGTTAATTTTGTGTCAGTATTTACATTAGTTGGATTTTAGGACTCACTAAGATTAATATAGAATTTTTCATACCAACAAGTTCTTGTTTCAATAGTAAGCAAACTGATTCTCAGAAGAATTTTTTCATCAATATACACGGTTCGAATTCTAAAATCGTACTTGTATGAAATGGTTAAATTTTATTATTGTCGTTTTGAATATAATTAGTCTTATATCAGGATAAAAATACTTGAAAATATATAATCTTTCTTATGGTAATAATTTTTCTACATTAATTCTTGCTTGTCAATTGAAAATAATTGAATTGTAAAATTCACCAATCACCCGAAAAAATGAATAAAAAATTCATATTTATAGAAAATCATGACTTCGGTTTGATAGAAGAACATAAGTGTCTTTTCCATAATAAAAAAGGAAAAAGAAAAAATGACATTTTAAATAAATTTGTTAATTATATTTTTATCTTATGCGTGAATGCTTAATTGTTTGAACTTTTGAATTTAGCAATATTAAATTATCAAGTCAGTATCAATATAAAATCTTTCTTTTACGTTATGGTTACACTTTCAATTTAGCAACATTGAACAAAAAATTCGTATTTATATAAGAAGCTGAGCTCGTATTGATAGAAGGACATAAATCTGTTTTCTATAATAATAAAAAAAAATTGACATTTTAAATAATTTTTTAATCATTTTATTGATTTAGATATTTGTTGCTTATCGTGAATGCTTTGTTTGAACTTTACAATTTAGCAAAATTGAATTATAAAGTCTGTATCAATATAGAATTTTTTTTTTAATTTCTTTGCGGTTATATTTTCGCTATATATCCGATTAAATAGGGTGTGGTGGTGGTTCCCGGACCAGTCGAGGCACGTTTTCAGAATAATTAAGCCGGACCCACAAAAGAAATTGTTTTTTCTAAAATGAAGAAATATAATTAATACCGTTGGGTCAGTCTAGCAACTTCCTTTCTTAATTATGTACGGTTCCCGCCGTCTGATATACTTGGTTTCTTCCTTACGCTATTCGAAGAAAGCAACATTTTTCTTATTCCTCTCTCTCTCTCTCTCTCTCTCTCTCTCTCTCTCTCTCTCTCTCTATATATATATATATATATATATATATATATATACTCAAATTTTAAAAATAACAATAGGTGTAGAATGAATATTTGTGAAAAATTAAGCATATTGCAGATCATAAAGTTATGTTTTTTTTTTTTAACGACAAGTTGTTTTTTAACTTTAAGTTAATTTGATAAAAAGTCAAACACATGTTTTATTAGAAATAAATTTCAATTTTAATGAAAATTCAAAATTTTGTACTTTAAATTCATGGATTTTAATTTATACTACACATATATATTTTAAATTGTTTTGTTTTGAAAAATTGGATGTTAGTCCAAACATAATTGGATATTAATCTACATAATTTAAAATGTAAATCAAAATTTTTTATCCTTCCACACATCAATGAATTTTTTTCAATGACTTTCAAGTTTCAACCCTTTTTTCATATTAATTCAAATTGTTTTTTTTTTTAAACTTTTAATTCAATAAAAAAGTCAAGCATGTGTTTTATTAGAAATAAATTTCAATTTTAATCAAAAATCAAAATTTTGAACTTTAAATTCATGGATTTTAATTTTTACTACATTTTTTTTAAAAAAATTGTTTGGTTTTGAATTTTTTTTTCCTCTTAAGATAACATTAATGTAGCTTTGTAATATAAAATAGAATAAAGAAAATAACAAATATTCGTGTCTTTTAATAACTGGATATTGAATACAAATATCAAATCAATCATTGATTTTCTCATCACATTACTCTTGTCAAGTCACTCTTTGCTTATTTATACTTTGGATAGATAGATTATAGATTATAAATATATTTCTTAATACATGTCCATTCAATCCTCAATTACAATATATGCCAGAATTCCAAAATTTAACTTTATTATCATCTGTATTTATTCTCAAAATTTGTCATATATATATATATATATATATATATATATATATATATATATTGTAACAATTAGGGCCTTCATCCAAAAAAAAAAAAAAAAAAAGAACTACATTTTTCTGGATAATTTTTTAAAAATAATTTTGACATTAGTATAGTACATTCAGAAGAAATAAATTTCTCCGAATATTAGTCTAGATAATAATTTAATAAAAAGTAAATCAAAATTTTTGATCCTTCCACACGTCAATGAATTATTTTTCAATGACTTTCGAGTTTCAACCCTTTTTAGAAGATATGGCCAAGGTTTAAATTTGGAAAAAGAATTATTAAAATAAGTGGTGAATATTCAAACTTAGTGCTTGTCAATTATTTTGAAGAAAGGAACGAGTCTTCTAAGCCAGTGATTATTTGATTGAAAATGATGAATTAATTCATGGATGAGTCGCTCACATTTGAGGACTTTATCAATGCCATCTTTTTAAAGGCATCTTTATGTCATCAAAAATTTAGTTTAGTACATATAAAGTTGGTTGGTTGGTCAAAAATTTAAGAAGTCTTTGAGTACATATCAATAATTTCAAGAAGTCTTTAAGCACATATCAACAATTAGACTTTAAGAAGTCTTTAAGTATATATCAACAATTAGACCCAGACAACAAATATAATGGGTGATGATGACATTAAGTGGTAGGGCAAAAGTTACACCTTATGTTTTTGTCAATTTATTAGTAATTTTGGAGATTGCACTTATCTTATATCCAGACATGTATAATCAGTTTTTTTTGTTAATCTTTAATTCTACAATAAAGAATATTTTCATGTTAATTTATGTATATGTTAGCCTATCAGAATCTACCATTTAACATATCAAAATCTACCATTATTCTAGGTAGATTCTGATATCAATTCACCGTTACTCTTGACGTTATTCTTGGTGATTAATTGAAGGATCTTGGATGACTCGATTACAATTAATTTTAGAAATTTATGGAATCAATTAGTTTTAATTTACGAATTACATTTCTTGTATAGATTGATGAGAATGTGTATAAATTAACGCATAAGATGTATTCTTACACATAAAAATACATTCAGTTTCCACATATTTCTTATTCAATATAATTTTATTGTATCAAAGCCATAAAAGTTCTAGCCTTTCTCTGCAAAATCTAAATCCATCTAAATTTGCAAATTTCTTCATTCATGGAAGATAAATATTCAAAAACAAAATTTTGTCAAACTAGATGGCAAAAATTTTACCTTTTGGGATTTTCATTTTCATAATTTTGCGCAAGGAAAAGACTTACTTGGTCTTCTTGATGGTTCTAGAAAAGAACCTGCTGATGATACTAAGAAATCCAAATGGGCTATGAAGAATGCCAAAGTTGTCACATGGCTTCCTAGTTCAGTCACTCCAGAAATTAGCAAGGGACTTCGCTCTTTTCATTATGCTTCAAAATATGGACTCACCTAAAGAGAATCTATACTTAATAAGTCATGCTCGTCATTTTCAGATAGAGTGTGAACTATCTGAATACGTACAAGGTGATCATGACTTCTGTTCCTTTTATTCTAGAATAATCAATTTGTGGTCTAAACAAGACATGTTGTTTCAATCCAAATTATCTCCAATAGTATTAACAGAGGTAATAAAAGATCATGCAAAAACAAGGGTTGTCCAATTTTTAATGAAATTGCACCTAGAATATGAGATTGTGAGAGTTAATCTTCTTAATCAAGAGACACTCCCTGATATTGAGATTGTCTTGTCTGACTTGTTTTGAGAAGAGAATCGTCTTTGAACTCAAAATTCTCTCAAACACTCATTGATAGATTTGGCAGTGGTAGCCTCTCATACACCTTCTAAGTTTCTTATTGATTTCATTCGCATATAGTGTCATAAGTGTCATGAATATGGGTATGTGGCTTGTGATTGTCGTAAGAAAAACTATTGTAACTATTATAAGAAATCTGGCCATATTATATCCGAATGCAGGAAACGAGGTAGGCAAAATTCCCATAAAGCCTATCACACTAGTCATTAGCATACCATTCCACCTGTTTCTGTTGATACTGAGGCAACTCAAAAAATTATCTAAGAGTTTGTGGCTGCTACTCTTCTAGGTGCAATCTCTACTGTTCTTATGGCTGCTACCTTTTTTGGTAAGAAACTAACTACTCATACTTGGCATATTGACTTTACTGCATCTAACCATATGATAGGAGACCAAATCCATTTTAAATCTTTTCAATCCATACCTAATACTAAATACATCATGGCAAAAAATGGAACAAATTTACCTATTAATGGATCAAGCACTATTTTTGTACCTCTTTTAACTACTAATCTTATTTCTGTTGGCCAATTGTTGAACAAAATTACATTATTGTCTTCTCACACCTTGGTTGTATTGTTCAGGATCTGCAAACATGGAGGACAATTGCAATGGGATATAAGTGTGGTCGTTTGTTTCTTCTTCAATTTGAGAAGACTCTAAATCATCTATGTTGTCTATCTATTTCTTTATCTGACATTGAATCTACCAATAAAAAATTGGTTTTGTGGCACGGTAGATTGGGTGATCCTTATACACAACAGTTAGAACACATGTTACATTCTTTCAATAAACATGTTTCTTTTTTCATCTGATAATGCTTTCACTTATTAAAATTTTGTTTAATAAAAAACTCATGAAGTGCCATTTTCTAAAAGTATGATAATATATTTTAATATTTCTTTGATTTGGCACATAGTGATGTATGAGGGCAATCTCCTATCCTTCCTCGTATGGGTTATTGCTATTTTATTTTTTGTATTGATCATATGACTAGATTTACATCGATTTCTTTTTTTCATAACAAATCAGGGGTTCCTCACATTATCTAATGTTTTGTTTAAATGGTTGAAACACCATTTTCTTACAATGTTAAACTTTTTGGTTCTGACTTAGAAGGGGAATACACAAAGGCAGATTTGTTACAACTTTACAATGAAAAGGGAACCATTCCTGAACGATCATCCCTTGATACACTCGAATAAAATGGAGTTATAGAAATAAAAATAAAGAATGTCATGGAATGTGCTCGAGCTCTTCTTCTCAAGTCCAACATGCCTAAAACTTTTTGGGTAGAAGTTGTCAAAACAATAGTCTATCTTATTAATAGACAACCAACCTTGATTTTAAAAAATAAATCTCCTTTTTATCCTTTTTATAATAAGGATCCAAATTACTTATATATGCAAGTTTTTAGATGTGTTTGTTTTGTTTATCTTTCAGTCAACGAAAGTGATAAGTTATCTTCCAAAGTAGCCAAATGTGTTTTTACCGTCTATACTGATCATCAAAAGAGGTATTTTGGTTATGATCCTTTAAATCACCGTATGTAAGTTTCTCATCATATAATTTTCTTTGAACATCATTTTTATTATAAGATGGCCACTTTGGCACATACTTTAATTGTTTTTCTATTACCTTTTTCAGATGACAATGATGATTTAAAGTCTTATCAAAGTGAACTACAAATATGACTTCACCTATTTCATCTTCCGACTTGTCCATTGGTTTTGTAGACTAAGATAGTACTACCATAAGTATATTTGAACCTCAAAACCCGACTATTCCTAGTATTACTTCTCTTAATTCTTATTTTAGTACCACATGATAAAATATTACCACCTCAACTATGCTTGAAACTCCCTTTCTTTGTTGTTCTAGCAGAAGTCCTAGTGTCCTTAATAGATATGGTTATTAACATAAAAGATATGGTAAATCATATGCCTTGATCACAACTTTAGATTCAATTTCTATACCTACTCATTATCATCAAGGTCAAGAGTATTAGAGATAAGCTTTGAAAGAGAAGCTCTGTGCTCTCTGAAGGATGATAATACTTGGGATATAGTATCGTCATCTTTTAGTACATCTATCATTGGAAGTAAATGGGTTTTAAAGTCAAATTAAAAACAGATGGCAGCCTTGAAACATATAAGGCACGATTAGTTGCTTAAAGGTTCAAGCAAGAATATGGGCTTGATTGTGAGAAAATTTTTGCTCTAGTTGCTAAAATGACTACGGTTCGTAAACTTTTGGTAGTTGCATTTATTCAAAGATGGAACCTATATCGGATAGATTTCAAAAATGATTTTCTTCATGGAAACCTTAAGGAAACAATATATATGAAGCCTCCTCCTAGATATTCAATTCCTTAGCCCAATTTTATCTATTGTTTTCGTAAATCTCTTTATGGACCAAAACAAACACCTTGAGCTTCATTGAAAAGTTTGATTCCACCATTTTTTGAGCTAGATTTACATAGAGTATTGTTGAATATTCTGTGTTCTTGAGATGAACAACAACATATATCACTATTCTTCTTGTATATATTGATGATATGATCATTACCGGTGATGATGAAGCAAGTATTGAGCAACTTAAGAATTTTCTTAATACCTCTTTTCATATGAAGGGTTTGGTTTTGCTAACCTATTTTTTAGGACTTGAATTCTCTTATACATCTTAAAGGATTTGTCTTCAACAACAAAAGTATTCAACGGATCTTATTCGTTTAGCCAATCTTATAGATAATAAGGTAGCTCACATTTCTATGGAAATCAACGTCAAATATGCCAAAAATGATGATGTACCGCTCTTAAATCTAACTTTATATCCATGTTTAGTTGGTAGTTTTATCTATCTTACCATGACCCATCTAGATATAGCATATCATGTTCGGATACTTAGTCGGTTTGTATTTGACTCTCGTCGACTTCATTATGCTATCTTACTATGGTTTATTAGATATCCGTATGGTACAATAGATTGTAGACTTTTTTTTTCTTAATACTTCTTCATAATTAATAGGACATGCGGATGCTTGATTGGGTTGGTTGTCTTGATTCTCATCGTTCTACCACATGTTGGTGTATATTTTTAAGAGATTCCCTCATTTATTAAAAATGTAAGAAACAAGAAAGAATCTCAAAGTCATCCATTGAAGCTAAATATGGATCTATGTCAATGGCTAGTTTTAAGATTGTTTGGCTTCGTCGATTATTATCTAAGATTGGAATTTCACTTACTACACCTACTCGATTGTATGCCGATAACTCTCATGTTATCCAGATTGCCATGAATGTAGTTTTTCATGAGTGCACTAAACATGTTGAAGTTGATTGTTATTATATTTATGATCTTATTGGAGATTCAATTATTATGATAACACATATTTCCTCCATAGATTAGCTTGCTGATTTGTTCATAAAAGTTATGACCAAGAATTGCCATTGCTACTTACTTTCAAAATTGATGTTTGGATGCAATTTGCATCAATTTGAGAGGGATGTTAACATATCAAAATCTACCATTATTCTTGGTGGATTCATATATCAATTCCCCACTACTCTTGGCACTATTCTTGGTGATTGATTGAAGGATCTTGGATGATCGATTGTAATTAATTTCAGCAATTTATGGAAGCAATTAGCTTTAATTTATGGATTGCATTTCTTGTATAGATTGATGAGAATGTGTATAAATTAACTCATGAGATGTATTATTACAAAGAAAAATATATTTAGTTTTCGCATATTTCTTATTCAATATTATTTTAGTATCAATTATCTTCGCAGTATACATATATATTCTATTTGGTGTATTCGAAGTAATAAATCTTCCGTATGTTATCTTCAAATATTGAACTAAAAATTAAATAAAAAATTGTATATTTTGAATTTGTTCATAAAAACTAATTAAGAATTTAATTAATTTTACTATGCATGATCAAATCCTAGGACTTAAAGATTCGGGAAAAAAAAAACTTTGGATCCTACTCTCGTATAGTTGCCTATGAATACTATAAGGAACTTTGAATGCCCATTGCAAGTAACTTGAAACCAAAAGAGAAAGGATGCTAAAAATATCTTTTATGCATCAAATTTGTTCAAACATATCAAAGACAAAAAAGTAGCCTTGCTAAGTCGGGATCTCCGTACGGTCCATCTTGGACATTAGATGGGGAAGAGAAGTTTAGAAAGGCTCTCTAGAAGGAAGAAGTAGGACATCCAAGGACTCGAGTTCAAGCTCATTCGCTAACGAGTCCTTTTTTTATGCTATTATAGATCGGATGAGATAGAATTCGTCAAAGTTGACATCTTCATTCCCTTTAAAAACCTTAAAGAAGTCCATATGAATGCCTTTGGATTTATTAAAAAAAATGGACATTAGCTAGCGTCTTCAAGATCCAATCTACAAATGCCTCATTCAAGCCAAAAGTCTCCTTGAATGTAGGAAAAATTCTTTGGGGTCATCTCCAATTGCCATCAATAGTTCAACCTCAACCTAATGTTATTTTTGGTTTGACATGGATCCAAACTATACAACAAATGAATTGGGTGAGGATGAGGCTTATCCGTATAAGACTTTAGACCGTGCAAAGATGATCTTGAGTATTCTAACTAGGCTGGTGTACATGCCT